CCATATAATCGCCCACCTAAAATAAGCGCCCATGGGCAAATTATTGAGTGGGCGGCTTTCCGGAAAATCCCGGTAGTCAACACGCATGAAAAAGCACAAAATATCTTTGAGATGACCCCTTGTGCCTGTAGGCAGCACGTGCATTTCATGCCAGGTGAGTCGACGGTCCGTCATCATACCTGGCTAAGCGACCTAATTGCCATCTATAGTCTGATCTATTGTTTTCAGCAGCTATTCATATTTTTTCTAAGTTTTGCCCGATTTTACGAGTAAACATGCACATCTGGATATCGTATTACGCATCCCACTGAACACCCAGTTAGGCCGAAGTGGGTTATTTCAACATACGCTATTTGCAATTGTGTCAGTTTTAGGAATACAGAGTAACAGCCTATAAAGAGTTGTTTTCTATTTCCGACAGTACTATAGGTCGTACTTAGGGCATGTGCTATGATTCACGTTGGCAATCTAAAAAATATCTAGATATTACAGTCATGTTATAAATTACAAATTATATAAGCAGATCGTATGCTTTTTATTAAGTTTCAAAATGCATACAAATATGAAAATAAACTAATTAGGATTATAAGACAAAATATACAGACGTACATTGACTTCGTTATTTTTCATTCCTAACATTTTCTACCACTGGCAGATAGTTAAACTCAAAATGTTTTCATTTGTTGTCATAAAAATGAAGATGGAAATATTATTGTGTAAAAAAGATTTCATTTTTGTTGATCAGTCTATACCTATACTATCAATTGAGCATGCGGGTGGTGCAGCAGAGGTCACGAACCAGTCGAAAATACTGGGATATCATCCGGGTACTCGGGAGTAAAACAATAACAAAAGCAACAACCTGTCCACGGAAATTGCTCAGTGCCCCTTTAAATGTGTTCATCATATGATTGTTTTGACACGGTCAGCTTCCGTGTGCGATGTGTTCACTTCCATCAACCACCATCCTTGTAATAACACATCACATGAGATTAGCCATGTGCTAAAATAACTCCCAAACTTCAAAGCGTACCGCTTCTAGACGTCCTGAGCCTTATAAAAATTGAAAGGTCGGCTTCCTGAGCCGACACCTTCTCAAACTAGTGTCATATAAGTGGCAATAATTTCTGAGCATAAGAGATCAGATTGGCTTGCTTATTTTGGAATTTAATGCTTTTCATAAACTAGAACCTGTGAAGGTCCGAGTTAGAATGAACCTTCAGTAACCCATGCTTGTCGTAACAGGCGACTAACGGTATCGGGTGGTCAGGCTCGCTGACTGGAATGACACATGTCATCTGTTCCCAGTTACGCAGATCGATGCTCGTGCTGTTGATCACTGGATTGTCTGGTCCAGACTCGATTATTTACAGACCACCGCAATAAAGCTGGAATATTGCTGAGTGTGGCATAAAACTAAACTCACTCACTCACTCATAAACTAGAATCTCATAAACTATTTGTCTCTGGAATCATCTGTGATATGAACTTGTACTGATTTCTCTAGAAATTATTTAACGTGATCTAAAATGAAAAATGTATTAAACAGTTAGTCACCTTTTATTGTAAATGACCAAATTAGTTACACTATGAAGTTTTTAAGAAGGAATTCATTTGGGTTGTTTTTACATCAGTCCGCCCGTGTGTGGACAACATAACCAATATCTATTAACAAGTTCATGATATTTCATGAATACACAAATTGCATAACACTGTCTCTGACCACAAACCCAAACGGGTTGTTCTATTGTTCACAATCGCCTACATCCCAATTCGCCTACAGTCTTAAAAGAACATTTCATGGTCTGTTGACGGTTTATCATTGCGTAATCAACAAAGTAAACAGTCCATCCCTTGTGGCAGGTGTTAATTAGAGGGTTCCAGTCAGAGAATATATACTGAGTCAAAAAAGAAACCTCACATTCTTTCTTCAGGGCACTATAAAAGAACAAGAGATGGTAAGATGGTTAAATTGTTATTATTTCATTGCTGAGATCTGTGTGATGTACTCCATACACTGACAGTGCCATAATCAGTTCCATTAGGCTACGCCGTCGTTCCAAAACATGGGTATACAGAATGTCAAGTCACAAGAATAAAAATTCAAAACTTCTCAGTTCAATATTGTGTATGGCCGCCCCGCGCATTCACCACTGCCAAACACCGTCTCCTCATCGACTGCCTGATGCTTGTGAACACATGGTTGGGGATTCTGCGCCATTGCTCTTGCAAGGCAGCACCAAGTTCCTGCAAATTCTGAGGTTGGTTCCTAAGACCACGAAGCCTTCTCCCAAGTGCATCCCAAACGTGCTCTATTGGATGAAGGTCAGGGGACCTCGATGGCCAGTCCATGACATTGATTCCAGCGTTTTGAAGGAAATTTTGTGTCAACATCGCGGTATGCGGCCGAGCATTATCATGCTAGAACTGAAGACCTGGGCCATGAGCCGCCATGAAAGGAACGAGTTCAGGGGTGAGCACCTGGTAGCGGTAAGCAGCAGCTGTGAGGTTTCCAGGGATGACCAGAAGTCGGGAACGGTTGTTCCCACAGAAAGCACCCCACACCATGCAACTTCCGCCCCCGAATCTGTCGACTTCCTGTACACAACATTGGGCATAACATTCACGACGTCGTCTCCAGACTCTATGCCTGCCGTCCGCGAATCTGAGGGTAAACCTGGATTCATCGCTAAAGACGACTCGATTCCAGTCTCTCTGGGTCCATCGGAGGTGACGTTGGGCCCACAGCATACGTTGACGTTGATGAAATGGAGATTGGCAGCCCGCAACCGATTTCGAATGGTCTGTGAGGACAGTCGACCTCTAAACATCTCAGCCCTGGTTCGTGTAGCCGGCAGAAATCGGTCACGTATGTGACGTAGGACGATTTGACTGTCTTCTGCTCGTGACGTCACACGTGGACGACCCGACCTTGGGTGATCAGAAGTGGTGCCAGTTTGTTGTAGACGACCTCGCAAGTCATACACAGTATGACAGCTGCATCCCATTGCTCTTGCGACGTCAATAACTGATCTTCCCGCTTGCAACATGCCAACGGCACATTCACGTTGCACATTTGACAATCGTGGCATTTAAAGTACCGTTAGAACTGTGGTTTAAAAGTGTTTTTTCAATTCTTGAGGCCAATGCAAACACGTGCATATGATGAAAACTTCGATGCGAAGATCACGTGATCGACTGCACGTGCAAAACCTGATTTGGCACCAACGTCATTTGCACGACGAATGGATGGGTTTGAGTGGGTTTTGCTAACGTTTTTCTAGAGTCGAAAGATAGGGATCCCATTTCGGAAACATAGATGTATCATCAGAGAACATTTTTTCATTATTTTTAAAAATTACATTTTGTGAAGTTTCTTTTTTGACTCAGTATATTCTACTACAGTCCGTATGAGTCAGAAACGGACCGATGAATTGCAAATTTTATCATTGTACAAAATTGCCACATAAATATAAATAGTACACATGTTTATCATTTACTAATACCCAACAGCTTTCTTATATTTGAAAATGTCCCAGACTCCACCAAAAAAGTTGTTTAAGAAACTATCATCATTGAAAACGCAAAAGTTGTTATCTGTCGTGGTGGGGTGAAACTGCAGAAACAGAACAGACACTATCTCGTCGCGCACGGGATACACATGCCTGATGAAATATGAAGATACCTTTCGGTATGGACTTACCGAAACAAATCGTCAAAAATGCAAATTCAACTTATAAAGTTAAAAAATAACGCGATGAAACAAAACGCGCGAAATCGGAGTTCAAACGTTTCACTAATTTTTCTCTGACTTTTCGGGGGAAAACGGGTTTCAACAGCTGGGCTGCGCTCATAGCACGTGCGCAGTGAAATAGGTTCGCGCAGCTTGGAAGCGGGTTGTCGGGTGAATACTCGGTGAAGGCTTTGGTGTGAGCTATTTTTCTAATGTTTTGTTGATATCTCACAGGCGCGAGCTTTTTATGTGTTATGACAGTAAATTAACTGTTTATGTAATTTCATTTGTCTATTTCACCACACGTTCTTCTTACCGAGTCACTTTCTCAGTTCGATACTTAAAAGCAATGTCATTATTTAGCGTTGTACAGAATTTCTAACTGTGATATAGATATGTCGTTGTCACAGACAAAACTCAATGTCTTGTTTTATTGACACCTGTGTGTCTGCCTGCCTGTCTGACAATATTCAATACACAGCTGCTATCACTGACCACATGCAATTTGAACTTAACACCAATCAGGCTTTACACCATAAACAAAATGCATTGATTTATGGCCCGAGTTTGGTCTCTGTCACATTATGTAATTACACAGACAGGCAGGTGTGATACTTGAACACATGACATGTTATGATGTCTGTTGATTGTAAAATGTTATACAAAAAAGAAGAGCATGTATTTACAAAACCCAACATCTCTATATATACACACACAATGAGCCGTCAGGGCATCTGCTAATGAACTAGCTGTTACACTTGAGTGCATACCCACCCACTCTGACTGGGTTCGGTATCCCGGCTGCTTAGTTTCTTGGGAAGTAAACCGAAGTACACAATTTTGCACTTTTGATTTGCGATTGTACGCTTATAATTTTGTTTATATGTTTTAGTATTTTCTGAAGAGGAATGTTTTCAAGGCACATTTGAAGGAATCAAGGGATGTTGTTAGTCTGAGTTCGAGTGGCAGCTGGTTCCATAGTGTTGGAGCTCCATAACTAAAAGAGCGGAAACCAAAGGCTTTTAGTTTACGTCTTGGGATGACCAATAGATGTTGATCAGCTGATCGTAAGGCTCACGATGGAACATGTTTGGTCACCAACTCATTGAGGTTGTCAGGAGCAGTTTCATGATAGCACTGGTGGGCAAGGCTCAGGTTTTTATACTCCACTCTGGCTTTTATGGGCAGCCAGCCAACAAGCAATTCTTCAGTTTTGTCTTCATTCAATTTCAGCATATGTAAAGACATCCTCTTCTTTATATCCAAGGAACAGTTAGAAAACCTACTAAAGAGTCCACTAGAGGCATCCAGCTTGCTAGAATCAAACAGCTGGATGTCATCGGCATACATATGATGATTAACTGTGTTCCTCCGTATGACATCTCCAAGATTTCTCGTATAAAGAGTAAACAATACCAGTCCAAGGACCGATCCTTGAGGAACTCCACAACATAACTGTGTTTTCTCCATTGACTTGTCTTTGACAATTACTGATTGCAAGCGTTCAGACAAATATGACTTGAACCAAGATAAGGCAGTACCACTTACTCCAAAAACTGTCTCCAGTTGCTGAATTAGTACAGAATGGTCTATAGTATCGAACGCCGCTAAGAAGTCCAGGAGTATGAGAACGGTAATATTTCCCATTGTCCACTGAACACAGCAAATCATTAACAACAGAAATCAATGCTGTCTCCGTACTGTGCTTTGGCCGATAAGCAGACTGGAACTTTTCAAAAAGTTTACACTCTGTAAGATGTGCGCAGAGTCTTAGCTTCACTGCCTTTTCAAGCAGTTTAGACAGATAGGGTAAGTTCGAAACTGGGCCATAGTTTTTGAGGATGTTTTCATCACAACCAGGTTTCTTTATCAATGGTTTTATAACTGCTTCCTTCATGATTGAAGGAACCTTTCCGGAAGTCAAGCTCAGGTTTATCAGCTTTGTTATTGTTGGTACCAGAACCTCACTTAACTCGAGTAAGAGTTAAGTTGGTAGTGGGTCTAGCGAGCACGTGGTTGGCTTGCTGGTTTTGACCAGAGTGTCGACTTCCTCTTCCGTGAAAGGTTCCAGAGAATCCACAACAGAATCTGTCAACGATTCAGGGAATAAGTTCGGACTTGGAGCATCAATAATAATAATAACTCCTGATATCGTCACGTAACTTTACTATTTTTGAAGTGAATTAGTCACTGAAGTTCGTTGCAAGCTCAAGTGATTCTTGTGATTTTGTAAGTAAACCATCCTTCTTCTTTCCCAGAAGAGAAGCGACAAATCTATGCATAGCACCGAATTTGTTCTCTGAGCTTGTAACTTTGTTTACGCAAAACTGTTTTACATTTTCTGATCAATTTTGTTACTTTATTTCTACACGACTTATACATTTGCCTGTGAACTTCCAGCTTGGAGTGTCACCATCTCCGCTCTGAAATTCGTCTTTCCCTATCTTCAGAATACCAGGGGAATGAGGATTTGACCCTTACAGTTTTGAAAGTAAAAGGTGCATGTACATCCAACAAGTTTGACAAAGTATTGTTGTACAGCTCATACAGACTATCCAGGTCAGTAGGAGGGTCTTTAATCAATTTTGATTTCAACAAACTTCTCTGAAGGCTGATTTATTCATTGCTTTCAGATTTTGACATTTAACCTGTTTGCTCAGTCTCTGGAGAGGACATCATCAGGTTGAAAGTTATGAAGAAGTGGTCAGAAAGCTGACTATCCTCAACACGATTGTTGTCGACTATTGCATTATTTTCACGAGAGAGTAACCAATCTAAGACATGCCCAGATTTGTGAGTTGCCTCATTGATATGTTGATTGAAGCCGTGGAAATCAAGCACAGAGCTGTCAACCTAAAATGTGTCCGAGAAGTGAGATTCATGGAAAGCCGGGCTCCAGGGGCCACAGGTCCCTGTTGGGTCCAGGGCGAAGTCCTGGTTGGGGGTCTAGGGGAGCAAAGCCCCCCAACCGAAATGAGATTTTGGGGGATTTTTGACTGTATTTTTGAAGCTGCTGATGGCAAATTTGATAATATTACTGTTTACAATTGTATTCATAAAAACAGACAAAATATTAAAAGGAGGTAATACTTTATCAATTATCCAATTATTTATCACAAACATAACATAATTATTCCAATTCATTTTGACATACATCTATTATAGAACTTGCAATGTAATAAAATTGTCAACAAAAGAGTTGAACATCTGCATGAATATAAATGAAGAAAATGACCTGTGTTTGAAAAATGTGTTGAAGTGATCTTACATCTTAACATTGTCACTACAATTTGAAATTTGTCATTTTTTTCACAGAATTGTAGAAAACAACAACCTTCCAATCATGACTATATATACTGTCTCAGTCTCTCACTTATTGGAATGAAGAGAATTATATTCTCTTCTTGAACTTTTAGCTTTTATGAGCAGTTCTTTGGGTCGTTCCCACTTAAAGCAGGGTAAGAGGTTTCTAGGCTGGCCATCTTGATGGTGAGGAGTGAAGCCAGAGTTCCATTTATGGAGAGACTGTTCCTAAAGTCTGTTTTGTTCTTGCGAACCATGTTGAACACTCTCTCCTCACCAGCATTAGAGTGGGGTACAACAAGAACAAGTTTAGCAACTTCAGACAGGTAGCCAAACTTTGTTCTTCCAGTTGAGAGATGAATCCCCAAACAATGTCCATCCTGTGGAAAACTGTCCCATCTTCTTTATCATTCACTGAAGCCTTTTCCCATGTCTTCTGTGATATGTCAGTGTTGTCAAGAAGCTGATATTTGGTGAATTCCTCTTGTAGCTCAACAAACTTTTTGGGGGGTCTGAAATGGCGGAAGATGGGAGTATGCTGTTCCCCTCTCTGCAAAATATATAAACTTAGCATGTTTCAAGATGTCATGATCATCAAGCCATGGTAGTTTCTTGACAGCTTCTGTGGCAGCTTTAGTATAGAATGATCTGACCCCCTTGAAGAAGTTGTTTCGATCGTGTGGAGAGACGTCCCCTTCCTCTTCAAGAGATTCCAGCTTTTCCCTTGTCAGTCCACCAATAAACACATTGTCATCTGGCAATTGGTTCTCTGCGGGCAGAAAGTCAATGTCTGTCACCACAGGCAAACCTGTCCTTATTATGTCAACTTTCACAAACTTACCCAAGAGCTTCCTCATGAAAGATTCCATCTGTGAATATAAAGCAAAAATGCAAGGATCTTCTCGTTGTAGGAACTTGTTGAAGCTTGTAAACAGAGGCAGAACTGATTGATAAAACAGCAGATAAACCTCTGTCATCGGGTCCATAAAGTGATGCTTCAGTCGCTTGAAACGTGGGTGACTTTCATCAGCTGACTTGAAGTAGCTCCGACTGCCTTCAAATAAGTCCAGATTGCGATTCACAACCTTCTCAAGACTGAGCCATCTTGTGTTCACATGTTTTACAACTTGTTTGTATTCTGTATCACAGAACTCGCAGAATTTACTGAGTGCTGCCTTAGTGTTCATATCAAAGATCCTCACAGTTAGAGGATTAATCTTCTCAAGTCCGGTGTCATTGGAACCATCAACAGCTAGGGAATATGGTTGGTTCTTCATTCTTCCCACAAGATTTGATGGAAGTGAAACAATACATAATGTTTTAAAATATCTTACTGAAAACCAATGCAATAAATTCAATGAAAGTTTACAGGAAATTACCCGTCTAAAATAATTTAGGTTTGAATACAAAAGAAAAACCTTTTTTACATTTTGTAGAAAAAGAAAGAGAATGGGAAAAGAATTGTAGAATAGTAATTAGCAATTACCTCTAAAATGTGGAGCAATTGCTCCATTAATCATGCATGTAGTCTTGGTTTTCGCTGAGGAATACTGCCTTGCTATCTTCGAATCTGTTAAGCAATCAGCAAAGGCCGGACTGAGATGATCAGCAGTAGCAAGTGGCAAGTTGTGATGTGCAATAAGATTGGCAATCTTGACTTCAGCTCGGATAACCTGGAATCATTCAAAGGATTACCGGTAATTCATTTTACTATTCCACTTGATAAAACAAAAAGAACACTTTTTACACAATCGGGATAAATCTACATTTATCTTAAAATTACAACTTTAATAGCATCACATATCTTTTAAACTTTTAAACCAAAACTGTATAAAACATTTCAACACTTAATAACGCAAACTGCTGCTTTATACATGATTAATAAAATAAATGAAATATTAACATAAGCATTATAACTATGTTAATTTTTAATACCATCACCACTACTACCAATCTAATACTAAAGATACAAAATGAAGAAACTGAAAATATATTTCATAAATCATTGGGGCGGTGGGGTAGCCTAGTGGTTAAAGCGTTGGCTCGTCACGCCGAAGACCTGGGTTCGATTCCCCACATGGGCACAATGTGTTAAGCCCATTTCTGGTGTCCCCCGCCGTGATATTGCTGGAATATTGCTAAAAGTGGCGTAAAACTAAACTCAGTCAGTCATAAATCATTAGTTTAAAACGTAAGTAATTTCCCATCACCACAATAAAGTTTAAGTGTAATAATACTACACTATTTTTTAACATACCATCCAGTTCATGCAAAGTTTCTGTAAATAAACATGAGTAAATAGCAAACATCGTTCAATTGTTCCAAATAGTATTGTAAAAATCAATATTCTATTTAACTAAACTTGAATGTAAGATTATCTATTGCAATATGTGTTTCAGCTACCAACATCTTGCTCAAAATATGTTAAAATGTGAAACTTGAACTTCTGCAATTCTCCAAAAATGTTAAATTTTTTAAACGTATTGGAAAACATTATGTCAGTTTACCATGCTGAGCATGAAGTGATCCAAATGTGAGCATCATGCTCGCATTGGTATCACACTCGTGCAAGACCTAATTAAGTCTAAAAATGATTAATTACGAAAAACATACCTTGCCATTTGTTGTGTTTTGAGCTGTGAACGTGGATAACAATGACCATGACGATGACTTGATTTTCTCCATGTCTTTGTGGGATTTACGTTGCATATGTAGCTCAACATCGCGTTATCCCTGGTGTTTACAACGAACACTTTGATTGCAAACAGTGCATCAAAATGAATGTTGCTTGCTGAATCTGCGATGATGCATGGATATGTATTCGTCCAGTTCGAATTAAACTTCGTATGGTACTTTGCTGCACCTTGATATTTACCGTATTTTCTTTTCCTTGGATTGCTTGTGACTCTGATTCTGAATCGTAGTCGCTCATTGTTTACCAGAATTGCGAAACAATTGAGAAGAACAAAGGACCATCGCAGGAAGAGTACCCCTTAGTATAAACCGATGAAAGGATTTCATTGGCTGAATCCCGACCAGCGAGCCAAAAGGAATTCGCCTTGTATCCGGGGTTAGGTTTTAGCTCCAGGCAATCGGAAACGGTCGTTATTCGAGATGAAAACATCATATAGCGATATTTAGAATGCACTTTT